CTGCTGACTGAAGGACAAGAAAGCAGTGTCCACTCTTCCTCCCTTACCCTGATCCAGACCCCCCCAAACTGAATGATTGCTTACTTCCTCTGCTGATTCCAGGTTTGTTTCCTTGGGCAGTCATCAGTCCCTGTTGTAAACCTCCTGAGAGAGTTCCATGGCCATTGCCCTGTTACCCAGCTGTACTTAGTGACTGCTTCCACCTTCCTGTTGTAGTAGTACAGATTAAGAGAGCAGAATATTCATGGAGTCAGCACAAATAAGACTTGGTAAGCAGGTACATGAAGCTGCGGAGGCACTCATTTCTTGTTGAAACTAGTCTGGTGGCATGGGTGGCTGTTGTGAATCTGGCCAGCAGTGATCCACGTGTAAGCTTGGAAGGTCCCTGCTTCCAGCTGATGCACATAGAATTGTTTTTGGATGTTAACCAGTCCTGGGACCAGGGAGTAAAACATGGGATTCTTTATTCCAGTGGGAGAGTTTCAAACTATTAAATCTTGATTGCATGTAATCCTATTTGTTACTACAATTGCTGTTAGTAGTAATAGTTGTATTGTTGGTACTAACTGGAATAGCATTAAATGAAACCACTAAATTACACACTTGTGAAAGATTCCAGATTGGTCATTGCCACTGAAGACAAGTTACAGACGCAGTAGGGAATTCTCCACAGGAACCTAATAGTTGTGAGTCCTAATAAAGCCCTAGTGAGTGATTCCTTTTTACTCTGCCTCATGGTAGCTAGGGGCAGTTGAGAACCTGATCTGTAATTTTGGATGTTCATGTACTGACATTGAGACATTTAAGTTCCAGTTTTAATTCCTTCTATTAACATAAACGTAAAAAGCTTTATTGTAATTTTAAATTATGTTTTGAAAATATTTGTTTTTAAGAAGTGTATCTTAATATTTTAAAACATGAGCGAAGTTTCATTTAAAAATACATAGCCTGATTCTGAAACAGATTGGGGTAAAATACTGAATAAATATGCTTGGAGAACTGAAGTGAGGGTGGGGATGTTATTGCACATGATCCTTAGAGCTTGCAGCATCTTCACACCGTTTGTATGAAGTGAAATAGGTAATGGTTTTAAACTGCCAGAGGGTGGATACAAATGAGCTCTTGGGCAGAAGCTCTTCCCTGGGAGGGTGCTGAGGCGCTGGCACAGGGTGCCCAGAGAAGCTGTGGCTGCCCCATCCCTGGCAGTGTTCAAGGCCAGGTTGGACACAGGGGCTTGGAGCAACCTGCTCTAGTGTGAGGTGTCCCTGCCTGTGGCAGGGGGTTGGAACTGGATGATCTTAAGGTCTCTTCCAACCCAAACCAGTCTGGGATTCTATAAAACAAACATGCACAACCTTCAAGGAGTGAAGGGTTGGAGTATGAATGTGACTGATAATTTCACACCCCCATTTTGCATTTATCCTGATCTAAAAAGAAACTGGATGCTTTTGACTAATTGTTACATGATTTGCAATTTAGAAAGATGTTCTTAGTCTAACTTAAAAATATTGCCACTAGTATTATGCATTTAAATTCATTATTTCACCTGTAGAAACCTGATAATTGTCTAGAGTTTCTCGACATAGATCTTTAGGAAAATCTAACTGAAAATAGGCCAGAGTAAAGTGGCCAGTATTTGCTGTAGTTTCAGTGTTTATAGTTGTCTGCAAATTTTTACTGGCATAAACCACAAAGTCTGTATCATTGTTTTTCTTACTGCTTTGTTTTAAAATTTTTCTAAACAAAGAATTAGAGTAATTCCTTAACTTCATGGAAAGATGATTAGTTTGCACTGTGTGACTGGAAATCATAGAATGGTTTGGGTTGGAAAGGACCTTAAGTTCATCCAGTTCCAACCCCCTGCCATGGGCAGGGACACCTTCCACTAGAGCAGGTTGCTCCACGCCCCTGTGTCCAACCTGCCCTTGAACACTGCCAGGGATGGGGCAGCCACAGCTTCTCTGGGCACCCTGTGCCAGCGCCTCAGCACCCTCACAGGGAAGAGCTTCTGCCTTAGATCTAACCTGAACTTCCCC